TTCTAAAGGACTCTTTCATATTGCACCGGTGCTGGAAAAGATTGGACTATTCCCTACAGAGACAACATAAACTCTTCAATGGATCCTCATTTTTTCAACTAGTAGATCGCCTTTTCTTAAGGTTTCGTACTACTACTCAAGTGATACGTGAATTACTCAGGAGAAGATTTTCTAACTGGATTGAAATCGTGAGACAGTTCGGTTTTCTTGACCCATCTGCCGCCCTGGAGAAGGGGCGCGGTGTTGAAATTGTTGAACCGGAGAAATGAATTGGAAAGGAGTGGAACGAAAGCAGACAAGTGAAGACCAAAAGAGACAGGCTTATGACTAAACACTACCCGGAACGAAGCCCAATCGATTCGAATCAGTCAGTCGAACAAACAAAGACTATAGTTCGCGATCAAGTCGTTCGCTTCTATAGTGGTTCGGAATTCCTTTTTGATCTATAAAGTTCTTCAATTGATCCGTCAAGGATAGAAGGGAGCAGGGGTATAAATAGGGGCTTCTTGAATGGGATGGCTTTTCTAGATGTCCCATAAATAAGGCCTCCAACTCTATGTTATAGCCTTTATGCCCTCGATCCGACGGTCCTCATTCTCCCACTTGGCAAGCTGCTACTGTGAACAACAAAGTAAAAGATGCTTCCAGAAACCATCTAGGTTCTTCCTAGGAAGATTCCTTCTTTCTGTCCTATTGAGAGGATGATCTCTGGCCATCGCCTGTGGTGTTAGATCAGAAAGGTGACCACATCTAGTTCAGAGGTTGGCCTAACCTGACTTGATGACACGCTTATAGAGTTTTCCGACCTGAAATGCTGCGTAAAGCGTCTTTCTTGCTCGGTGATCAGTCAATGAAGTCATTCTGGATCCCTGACTCGTCTCATTCTAAGGCTTTGGCCTGTTTGACATTGGGTCAAATCTGTCATCTTGGCATCGTCCCTTCTCTTAATCTACTTCGGTTACAACTCGATAGTGAGTTTTGAGGGTCAAGTAAGGGATTGGGTTGAGAGGAGGGTCACAGTCCTGCTATATACGAAATACTTAATAGCTAACGGCCGTATGGCATCTATCCATCCATGCTGAAGGTTTTGAGACTGAGGGCTTGGATCGAGGTCCGGAAAAGCGTGAAACGCAGTAAGGACATTGATGAAGTATAAGCCCTGGCGAAAGACGAAGGCGGTAAGCGAAGCGAGGACGATAATTCTCTAATCGGGCTCTTAGTGGAAGTCAAAACCCGTGTTCAAGTAAAGGAGATACTATTTCATTAATGAATTTTTACAGGCAAAATGCCGCTGACAATGTGTTGAATTGGCAAGTTACCTGATGAAGAAGCTAGGTAGGTACCGGCTGCCTGCGTGGTGTTAAACCAAAATGCTAAAGAGAGCGAAGGGGAAATCATGAACTACGTTTCATGTAATGTAGTACACTATAAGAGAGTTAGAGTACTTTAGTGGACACAATTCAAAAATAACCTTAAGGAAAGGGCTTATATGAAATAAAGAGAAATTCAAAACAAGTTACATGCTCGTGACCCACAACAACTAATAGGGCCAACATTTTAGAACTACTATTTTTATCTTTGCAACTACATACTTTCTTGGAATAAGAAAGACTGAAGGTGACTTAACTACTTTTTGTTCATTTTTTCTAGTCTTCCAGGCGACCGAGTGCTCCATCAACAATGAGTGCTTCCTGCTCCGCCCGCAACGCTTTTTGCCTCTCCTCCAAACCCTCTATGCGCTCTCTGGTAGCGCGAATGCGTGCTTCTTTCCTTGCAGGATCCATTGTTCTACCACTTCTCAAAAGGAAGTTTAGCACTCTACGCTGCTATTGAATTTCATTTTGCAGTTGCCCCATTTCGGCAGCAATTGCAGAAATCCTGTTTGTAGTATCCATAGCCATACGTGCTAGTACTCAATTTCTTTGAAATGAATTTGATGAAGTGAAGACACTTATCGAGTCTCCATTTATAGAGTGGTAGAGTAATCTCGCCATGCGTCAAGAATTGGATGGCAGGCACAATTCTTACTAGTTCTCCGCACAACTTTTGTGCAGTTGAAGACTATCATGCCTGTTTAATGAAAAACTGGCTGGCTCTGACTACCTTGCGGAGCAAACAAATGATCCCAAAATCACACTGCCTGTATGAACAAACAAACTTTGCACAACCAGCTTACGTAGAAAAGATTCCATATTCTATGCCAATATATTCGTGACATCCATTTACTGAGTTATCAAATGAGCCACGTTAAGAAAGCCCAAGCTTATACGCATTGGCCCACAGGGTGCCCCAATAGGGCCCGAATGAAAGACCCAAGCCTACATGAATGACATGAACCATCAAAGTCCTACAAATGAAGACTTGTCCCTATCAAGCCTGCTTTCCTCGATAAAAGCCCACAGAAGGGCCAGAGCACAACAAGCCTACTCATCATCAAAGCAAGTCCAAGCCCATTAAAAATGACCTCATTCTCATGGGATCCCTTTCCTTACTCCTCAATATAGTCGCAGGTTCTATACATTAAGATTTGCAGCACCTATTCATGAGCTGGGGAATCGTGTTGCAAGGAAAATATTGATTGAAAGTCCATATCTTTCTATTTTCCTCTATCTCCGGCTAGAAAAGAATGTATGCGTCAAACATTGATGTCTCACTAGTTTAGATACGACGAGATAATCATCAAAGTTTGGGAATCTCAACTGGAATACCTCACTACACCGGTACCGGTTATGAGCCACATTCAGCGAAGAGTTTCCGGTCTTTGTCACCTTAATGCATTATAAATTGCAAGGAAAATGAAAAAGAAAAAAAAAACTTGAATTCTATAGGTTTAGCTAAGACGATTTCGGAAATTAGAAACTTATTCCTTTTTTGTTTGGTACGAGCTCAACTTAAGCTATACATTGCCCGAGAAGAGCTGTTTGGGTGCACCAAACAGCTCTTCAACCACTTGCTGCAGAATTTCCAAATCTATTTAGTATGGAGATGTTGGCACAAGAAGGTGAATTGTCATTATATATCAATCTTTTGCTCTGGCTGCTATTGACTTGACTACATTGTCTCACTGAGCAGTTTTTTCTCATGGATGAAAGAAAGATGGGCCAAATCATGCGGGTAAGTACCCAAGAAATTTCATACTAGCTCCTTCCACTACTGTCACCCCTAAGTATTACATTATTTGTGAGAGTTCGGCCATTTGAAAAAAAGACATCAGATTATACAAAGTGTCCCTAATGCTATGATGTTGACACAATCTGGTTGGCGGCATTTTCGAATTCAAAAAATTAAAGATTATTTGGATCATTGTTCCAATGTATCTCAGCCTTTTTGCAAGTTCCAATTTAGAAGGTTGAAATTGACCATTAGAAAACAAAACAGTGGCCAATAAAAAGAAATCCTTTGAAGTTTATTTTAATGAGCATAAAACCAGGCAAAGAGTCTAATTACTGCTTTTCTGTTGTTTCACTTTATAGGGTAGGGTCACCGTGCCTATGTGGGTCATAGAAAAGAAAATACATAAAGCCTAACAAGCGAACCATGCATCCTTGAAATTTGCCAGAACTGTCATCACCTATGGTTGATTAAGAAAAAAAACTGGAAACAAGAGACCTGGTTTTTTTTCCAGTTTCTGATTCCAGAATGTCTGCATCTATTGTTCTCGTTATAGATGAATTTTTAGATGAACTACACCTCCTGAATTACATCCCTCCTTGCATGCATTGGTTGATTCACTTCCCTCGACAACGAGAATTCAGAGTATATTGTATGGCCGCACAGTATTTTATGATTTTTCGAAGGAATTTATAGCATCCATCTGCTAATGTGTAATGTGCTGTCTAGTGACAAATCACCAACTCAGGAGTCCTTGAAAGCCTTGATCTACGGAACTGACATATACTTCTGCCCAATGCATGCGTCATCAGAAGTGGCACAAAAAATATTCTCATCACTGAGGCCATACAAATTGAACATTCCAGAAGCTTCTAGAGACCGACGCCTGTGTACGGCAATTGAGGTTGCTCCTGCTATAATTCAAGGGCCCATCAGCAGAAATGTCTCGAGGAGTAGTTAAACAGGCATGAGTTAATAACAGAATAATTGTGTGCACTGGTGGACCTTATACTTATGTACCCGGGCTAGCGCCCTCTCTCTCCAGCAGAATGTTGTATGTTCTTATTCATATATTACCTTCCATTATTTAAAAAAAACACAAAGAAATAAAAAAAGTTAAGATATTCTTAATGATATTCGGGCTTCTACCCAGCAGAGTCTTCCATAACTGACCGACCGGTGAAAGGATAGCCGGACCCGTTGAAAGCCGGCGGTTGTTGATAGCTCGGAAAGAATGCTGGGCTAGGTCTTCTTCCCTTAGAGAGGCTTATTCTCCTTTCCCGAGTGCTCAAATATTTTCTTTATTCTCTATTTATTCTATTATTAGTTCTATTGTTCCGATCCGCTTGTGTTTCAGGAAATCAAACCGAAGTCAATTCATTCAACAATGCCCCCTCGGGACATTCTGTGTTGTATTTTGCCAACACCGTTTCACCTTCCTTGCTTTCTGTTCTGTCTTGCATTTCACCATGGCACACTCTTCCTTTCAAACCGGTAAAAAGAAAGCCCTTAGCCATCATTACATTACTTGTGTGCCATCCACCTATACCTAATCCATTCATAGGGGAAATGCCATCCTATTACTGTCCTATCCCCTACTTTTCAACCTTTCCGTCTTTCTCTTTGTACTCTTTCCTTTCTGTCTTTTCAATTCTTTTCTTTCTTTAGTTTCTTTCTTATGTAGCTTATTAGCTTGAAAGCTTTCCTTGCCTTTAAGGCTACACTGGAATATGCTGAAAAGTGATCGGTCATTGAGGAAGACTTAGCTTAGGGCTGAGAAGTAAGGAGACTCCAACATTCATTTCCATTTTCTTTTTGTTTTTAAGCCTATTGGCCGACATTGGCATTAAGACTTAATGAATTTGTTCACATATACCTAGTTTCTTTATTCATTCACTAATACCTACGGTTG